TTTCTTTCTTTCTTTCTTTCTTTCTTTCTTTCTTTCTTTCTTTCTTTCCAGCCAACACTGATGTCTGGGCCTGATTAAAAGCAGAAACCGCAGAGATGTGGCTGATTTTGGTTCTGTTCTCCAGGAATAAATAAAGGTGTGGCTGCTCCAGCTGCGCACCTGACCAGAAGGCAAACAGCATGACACCAGAGGGTCACCAGTGGAGAACCACAGGCCCCTTCAGCCAGCACATTCCAAGGAGATGAATCAACATCCAGTGTAAGCTAATGACTGCTCTTCACCCTGGGGCAAAGAATGCAGCAAAGGAAAGGAAGGAGGTGCCGTTTGTTGATAATCTATGAATCCACAGCTGAACAGAACAATTCTATCCCATACACCCTATATCAGGGGTGAGGAGCTGGAGCCCCAGGAGCAGAATGTGGCCCTCAAAGCCTATCTATTTGGCCCTTGAGATTCTCCCCAAGATGTATGTACCTTCTTCACAGTTGCCACTATGGGATTGAATCCCACCCAACAATAGTGGCAGTCTTGATGATGGCTTGGATGCACTGACCAATGTAATGAAAGCTGCAATCCTAAGGATTAATGAATGTGAGATCCCCACAAACCTCTGCATGCCTTATTTCTGAGCAGATATGCTTAAAACCATGCTGCATTGTAGGAATCCTATACAGATGCATTTGCAAGTTGTACTGAAATAAATGAAACTTTGCTTCCAAGTAAACGTGCTTAGCATAGGGATGCGAACCAAACATGCAATGCAATAAAGGAAATGTACTTATAAAGAAAGTTACTCCATGTTTGTCTGGCTTTTCAAAGCCCAGCTTGAATTTAAAAGGTCATTGCAATTCTTCTGGAAAACTCTTGGCCTTTCTTGGGCACCACAGTTTCAGGGCAGCCCTGGAGAATGGTGTGCCCTTAGTGTGCAGTCTTAGGGCACAGACAGTGCAGTAACAAGGAAAATTTTAGGTGGTCTTAAAGGATGGAGTACAACAGACCAAACTGCACATTCCCTTGTGCATCTATTTTCCCCCCATCACAATACGTGATAGGCAAATTGATCCATTTTGGTCTCTCTATTTTTCCACCCTTAAGTTCATTTCTCCACATTTCCAGTTTGCATTAAAAAAAAAAAAAAGTCCTCGTGAAAATTCAGCAGTGTTGTAGTGCAAATCTACCTCCACATGAAATTTTGCCTAATACATAGATTTTTACAAAACAATTTCCCCCAATACAATGCATTTTTAAATGCTGCTTTCACGAATATATGATTTTTTTCCTGCACAAATTACCCAAGTACAGGCATATTTGTACACATTACCTGGCTGGAGAATTGCATGTGCAAATTTCTATGGCTGGCCCTCTTTTGATTCACATGTTGCTTCAAAAAGTGTGTGCTAAGTCAGTTCACTTATGAATGCAAACCGAAACAAATTTGTAATCATAATAGGAGTCACAGGGAAGGGCAAGATAACAATCAGGTCTATGGGGATGGGGATATTCGTGTTTCAACCCTTTCATCCCATGCTGTAGAGTGGACAATGCTAGGATGGCCAGACAAATAGCTTGACCTGGCAAAAGGCAGCTTCCCGGGAGCTTTATAGATGCAGTCTCAAATACTGGCTTGCACCAGGTTTGCTCTCAGTGCAATGTCTGTCAAAATTCCAGGGGTTACTACAGGTTGCACTGGTTTTGCCATCTTCCAGCATTTCCTTTGCCTTTCAGAGCTTGTGCAGACAACTCCTGGGATTAGTATGCAACACGGTCTAGTGGGGAATATTGTTCTGGATCCGCCCCGTCTCCTCCCCTTGTTTTGTGTCTGGCAGAGGGTGCAGCGTAGGAGGGCTTGATGAGTATGTCCTCAAAAGCATCCCGTTCCCCAGTGTGGAAGGCAGAGGCTGTGAGGTTGTGTTTACAGTGCGCTTGTGCTAAAGGCAGACCAAAATGTTTGTGCATGTTGGGAATACTCTTGGCCACTATCCAGAATGTCTTATGAAAAGACAGGCTGCGGTTTCAGCATGACAAGAGCCATGGGTATTATGTAAGCGGAGATGAGAGAGCGTTGATGAGAGGCAGAAAGCAAAGAGGGCAGGAGGAATAGACTGAGAGGGTCTGGCAGAGAGAGATAGAAAGATGATCCCACCCACATTTGGCTCTGGCTCCACCCACATTTGACTTCAGCTCCTCCAGCCAACTATCAGGTCTGGCTCCATCCACGTTTGGCCTTAGGCCCCAAGATTTCTGTTTCCATGGGTCAATGGTCCTCCATGGAGAAAAGATTCCCTGCCCTGATCCTCTGCACGTTTGCTGAAACTGAAAGTCAGCCCTTCTGTGTGTTCTTGATGGGGGGGGGGGAGATGAAGAAAGAAGGAAAGGCATTTTGCACATGCTCATAGACTTCCTTAATTATTCTTCCGTATGTTCCATGGCTGAGCCCCTCCAGAAACCAATTTCCAGGAATCAAATTCAGGCTCTCCATGGCTCAAATTCAGGAGGTTAGAAGACCCTTCCAGGTCCAGACCAAGGAATGCCCCATCTAGTGGTGCTGTGGGTTAAACCACAGAGCCTAGTGCTTGCCGATCAGAAGGTCGGCAGTTCGAATCCCCGCGGTGGGGTGAGCTCCCGTTGCTCAGTCCCTGCTCCTGCCCACCTAGCAGTTTGAAAGCACATCAAAGTGCAAGTAGATAAATAGGTACCCTTCCGGTGGGAAGGTAAATGGCGTTTCCATGTGCTGCTCTGGTTTGCTAGAAGCGGCTTAGTCATGCTGGCCACATGACCCGGAAGCTGTACGCCGGCTCCCTCAGCCAATAAAGCGAGATGAGCGCCGCAACCCCAGAGTCGGCCACGACTGGACCTAATGGTCAGGGGTCTCTTTACCTTTACCTTTACTCCCACCAAAGCTAGGCAGAAGATCTCCTCCTCTACCACTCAGCGATGCAACCAGGGCAGGACTTCAGGACAGAAGCCAACCTAGCAGAATGAGCAAGAGGGTTCACAAATGCAGGAATGCTGACCTGTCACATTTTGAAGTAGTACACACCAGGTTGCATCTAAGTAAGTTCTACACAAAGTAGACTCATCGAAATTAATGAATCTAAATTAGGCATGTCCATTAGGGCAGGCATAGGCAAACTCGGCCCTCCAGATGTTTTGGGACTACAATTCCCATCATCCCCAACCACTGGTCCTATTAGCTAGGGATGATGGGAGTTGTAGTCCCAAAACATCTGGAGGGCCAAGTTTGCCTATGCCTGCATTAGGGTTTACTCTGAGGAAAACATGGATACCACACGTTTTCATCTAAGATTACCCAAAGCTGCACTTGCATTCAGAAAAACAGGAAAGTTCTCTCAACATGAAAGTTGTATTTCGTGTTCACAGAGAGGCACCATGAAACTGCCTCACAGAGTCAGGGCATGGGTTCATTCAGCTCCCTATTGTCTACACTGGCTGGCAGAGGCTCGCCAAGATTTCAGGCAAGGCATTTCTCCCAGTCCTGCCCAGAGACGCAGCCGATCGAACCTGGAACCTTTTGGCACGTAAAGGAGACTCTATATCGCTGAGCCCGGCCCCTTCCCCCAAACATAGGAAGCTGTCTTATCGACAGTCAGATCGCTCGCTCGCTCCACCGAGCTTAGCGCTGCCAACACGGCCAGGCAGCGGCTCTGGCTGCCCACTCGACGCCTTATCTCCTCCTCATTTGCAGAACCCGAACCAAAACCAGCCCGGCCTCTGTCTCCTCCAAACTAAGGGAGAATCTAAAAGAACCATAATCACTCTGATCCTTGAAAGAAAGAAAAAAACACAAGATGACAAGAAACACACCTGCTATAACCTTGAATCGGGGACCCGCTGTACAAAACTTTGTATCACAACCCACGCTACCCGCACCCCACCTCCCTTTCCCCCACTGACGGCAATCGGGGGCGGGGAGAGGCGTTGGAGGAGGGAAGGGGAGAGATTACAAGGTGGGAGAATGTTGTATTTTAATCTTGTTTTTTAAAATTGTATTTTAGTCAACTTGTTTTTATTATTGGTTGTTAGCGCCCTGAGCCCGGTCTTGGCTGGGGAGGGCGGGGTATAAATAAAATTTATTATTATTATTATTATTTGACAAACCTAGACAGCATCTTAAAAAGCACAGACATCACCTTGCCAACAAAGGTCCGTATAGTAAAAACTATAGTTTTCCCAGTAGTGATGTATGGAAGTGAAAGCTGGACCATAAAGAAGGCTGGTCGCCGAAGAATTGATGCTTTTGAATTCTGGTGCTGGAGGAGACTCTTGAGAGTCCCATGGACTGCAAGAAGATCAAACCTATCCATTCTTCAGGAAATCAGCCCTGAGTGCTCACTGGAAGGACAGATCCTGAAGCTGAAGCTCCAATGCTTTGGCCACCTCATGAGAAGAGAAGACTCCCTGGAAAAGACCCTGATGTTGGGAAAGATGGAGGGCACAAGGAGAAGGGGACGACAGAGGACGAGATGGTGGGACAGTGTTCTCGAAGCTACCAGCATGAGTTGGACCAAACTGTGGGAGGTAGTGGAAGACAGAGGTGCCTGGCGTGCTCTGGTCCATGGGGTCACGAAGAGTCGGACACGGCTAAACGTCTAAACAACAACAACATCCAGCAGGAGACGTGGTGCGTGCAAAGCTGGCTCAGCCTAGCCCCTTCCCCGCGCTCCTCCTCCGCAGCCCCTTCCCTGCCCTCGGTCTCTATCCCACATGGGACCCTATCTCTCCCTCCCTCCCTGCCAGCGAGGGCAGCCGGCACGTGCCGCCCCTTGGGGACTCCTCTGCTTGCAGGCCCTTCCTCCTCCCCCGCCCGCGCGACCTTCCCTCGCTCTCCGTCACGCGCAGGGCAGCTGCCGGAGGCGCCCGAGGCGCGCCCGTCTCCCCTTCGCCGCGTGCCCAAAGTCGCTAGAGCAGCCAATTAGCGCCGCGTATGCAAAAGCCGCGCCGCCCTCCTCGCTCCCCCCCGCCCCCGGCGCGCGCGCGGCGCCTCTCCCGCCTCGCCAATTCCGCGCAAGTGGCGGCGCGGCGCGAGAGGAGCAGCAGCCCTGGCCGGGCCCGCGGCGAGAGGAGGAGGCGCGATCGCCCGAGCTTGGCGCTCCGGAGGCGGCAGCAGGCTGCAGCGGAGAGGCAGCTTCAGGTGAGGGCGGCGCGCGGAGAGGCAGGATCCGAGCCCGGGGCGGGAGGAGGCTGGGACGCGGGGAGTGGGGTGGGATTAGCCCGGGCTGGGAAGCGCGTCTCGGTTCGCGCATTAGGGACAAAACGGCGGGAGCTGCCTCGTAGGGATTGCAGAGCGTTTTAGCTCGCCAGGGTCCGCACTAGGTGTCCACGGCTCTGTTGCGGACTCTTTATCTGGAGACGCGCCGGGGATCGAACCCGGGACGTTTGTGCGCGCAAAAAGCAGGTGCGCTGCTACGCTTGCTCCAATTCGGGTGCTTTTGATTGCTGCTCCGACCGCCGTCTCCTGCGGGGAGGGGAAGGGGCATGTTGTGTAAACAGAAGCAGACAGACAAAACCAGACAGCATCCATCATGTGCGTGCCGCACATCGCAGGGGTTTGGGTAGGTAGCAACGGTTTCCCAAGGTGGGTCCAATGAACAACTTAGCGCATGGACAGCTCTTGCAGGAACAAACCCACCCACCCACACCAGACATGGGCTGCCTGTGCCGGCACATTGGTATGCGCAAAAAAACAAGTCTGTGCCCGGTGTGCTGTTCTCACAGTTGGGAGAGCATCATGTTTCCTGTGCCAGGAATGCAGACTGCTCAGGGCACAGGGGAGAAGTGCATGTCTTCAGAAATAACGCCTGGCGCACAAGTCGCGCCGAGCATCTGATAATGAGACTTGGGGCTGTTCTAATACGGTGGTGCTGGACATAGCCAGCATTTATTGACGGCACTTGCGCACAGTGTATCTTCAATAGGCGGCATGATTTGGGGAGCATAGCTCAGTGCTGAGGGGGAGGGACCATACCTCAGTGACAGAGCACCTGCTTGGCATGCAGAAGGTCTCAGCTTTCGTTTGGGGTATTTCTAGGCAAAAGGGTTGTATAGCCAGGTGGTAGAGAATACCCTGGAGAACTCCTGGCAGAGTAGACAAAAGGGATAATCGAGAATCTAGATAATAGGGGTAAGTGATGATAGGTAACATTAATAGGTTGAATTCAGTAGATTAAAAGGGAGAATACATAATAAACGGACAAATTGTTTGAGCTGGTGTAGGGCAGCTTTCTTTCATTATGGCATCAGTTCTAGAACAAGCTGTGTTTGGTCCTCTAGACCAGTTGCAAAAGATAAGCTGTTGTGAGCCAGTTGCATGAATAGCTTACAGCAGTGGTTTTCAACCAGTGTGCCGTGGCACCCTGGGGTGCCTTGAATGATGGTCAGGGGTGTCGTGTGGAACACTGGCCCCTGTCCCTCTTTTCTTCCCACCCTCCTCTGATGTCCTTGCGTGTCTCTGCCTCCCAAAGGCTTGCAGCTCTGGTTACAAGCCCCCCCAGGCTGGTCAGGGGGCGTTTCCTAGGCCCCTGTGGGGCAGTGTGAAGAGGCACCTCTCTTTGGGACAGGGGAGCAGCTCAGAGACCAGGGGTGGCAGCTGCGGCTGCCCAGAGGACTCCCAAGGGGAGAGGAGAAGAGGCTGAGGGAACACTCCATAAGGGAAGGTGTTTCGAAAAAGGGCGAGAGGCTGCCAGCTCTGCAGGCAAAGGGGTGATATAACTGGACTCCTGAGCCCCACAGAGGTGCCTCAGAAAGAATGTAGTTGGTCAAGGGAGCCGTGGACCCAAAAAGGTTGAAAACCTCTGGCTTACAGTGTAGTAAATGCGTTAGTCTTTTGGTCCCGCAAGACTCTGGCTCCTATTCCCTTCCCTATAATTCCCAGAGGGATTCATCAATTGATCGATCAAGCCATCTTCCCAGGGAGCTCTGGGAATTCCAGTTCTGTGAGGGGACTCTCAGCACCCTTAAAAAACTTCAGTCCCCATAATTCTTTAGAGTGGTATGATACTGCTTTAAATGTATAGCAGACATGGAACCTCTGTTGTTCTTGCTGCAACAGACAAACACGTCCGCTCCTCTGGAATTTGTCACCAATGCTGAAAGCGGCTGACCTGGAAGAAAGAGTGGATTTGCTCATGTTGGGAATATGATGAAGACCGTAGTTCTTGTTGATTTCCTCTCTTCCCCACCCACAGTGTGCCTGTCCACCCACTCACCCCCATGCATACATAATGAAACTTGTTTGTGGCAGCATGCCAGGAGGTATAGCTCTAGATTGGTTGGTTGGTTTGGTGACATATTTTATGTGTTAGTGGAAGTGGACCCCTCTTAGATGAAATGCCATGCCTGTGATAAAAATCCCTTTGTGGTGAAATGTATCGTGCCTAGGATGTGATCGTCTTGATGTGGTCGGTGCAGATTTGAATTGACTTTAAGACCCGCTGTTCCCTTTTGTTTTCAAGCAGGCTCACTTGCAATAAGGCATTCTTAGAACTGCCATCTGAGAAGCTGGTGTGTTTTGGTGCAGAAAATACTCCGGCCATTCACAGTGTAATGTCCAGGTCTTAAGAGACAACTGTCTGTGGTGTCCAGCAAAATGCTGCAGCATGCATTGTTCACGAAACGGTGCTCACCGTTAGCGGAGTCTCACCACGGCATTTGCATGTATTTCACCCAGAGTGAACAGATAATGGGCCATTCCAGATGTTCTCTTTTAATTGCAACAACAATCTGCGGGAAGCAGAGCTAACCTTCCCCCCTGCTGCCATCGGACCCCTTGTCATTTATTACAGACAGACAGGAGATCACACTGCTGCTGCTGAATGTCTCACATCCTTCTTCATGTGCAGAGTCTGAGGCTACTTAAGTTCATGTCATGTGTATTTATCTGATTTGTTTTGTAAACTTGGAGTGGAGAGAGAGAGAGAGAGAGATGTTTTTTTAAAAAATATTTATGCCCCATAGAATTCCAGTGCTTGAATACTCATCAGCACCATCATATTCTGCAATGAAGCAATTTTAGTTGTCTATCCCCTATTTTTTGCATCAGGGAACCAGTGCGGCCATTCTAAGCCCATTTACCAGGGAATAAGCCTCATTAAACTGAATGAGATGTAGGATCATATCCAACCAACTTCTATCTGGAGTAATTCATTGGAATGAATGACTTTAATTTGGTCATGTTTCTTAATATCAGTGGGTCTACTCTGAGTAGGACTAGAATTTGATACAAGCCTGTACAAGGCATGTATGGATTTGCATTGTGAGAAGAAATGCTATACACATTGTAAAAGCAATGGAAGCTCTTTAATGAAATGTTAAATTTTGAAGTACAGTGCTATGGGGGAAATCTGGTGGTAGTTGTTTTACACCATCTGGGTAAGTCCTAAACAGAGAGAAGGTAGGAAGTTGTCTTACACCAAGCCTACCTCAGTCTTGTCCACACTGGCTGGCAGCAGCTTTCCAAGGCTTCCGTCTGGGAAGACTCCCATCCCATCAATGTGAGGGATGGAGCCTAGGACCTTCAGCATGGAAAGCATATGCTGTACTGCTCCTTTCCTTTTGCCTGTTCTTTGACCACCGAAAACTTTCCCATGGAGGAAATCCAAACTCCTGGCACTGGTGGGGTAAGATCATCATCTGGGAAGTACACTTCCCTTGCAATTGTGAAGTAGTGGCTGGTACCCATTGCGATTGGCGGGGTGGGAGGCAGGGAACCCAAACAGTAGGTGGAAGCCTGAGCCAATGACAACAAATTCTAGTTTCCCCTCTGTGCTGATTTCTACAAGGGAACCACTGAGACCTAGCAGGGCCGTATTGGACCAGCCCCCACCAAATGTAGCCCTACTGAGATGACACCCCATTCCTTCCACCTGGTGGCAAGATGGTTGCAGAGCCATTGTTTCTGCTTCATGACACAACTTTTGCCTTTCGGACCTGAATCCTTCCATTTCAGGCATAGGCAAACTCAGCCCTCCAGATGTTTTGGGACTACAGTTCCCATCATCCCTGGCCACTGGTCCTGTTAGCTAGGGATGATGGGAGTTGTAGTCCCAAAACATCTGGAGGGCTGAGTTTGCCTATGCCTGATCCATTCCAATTGAGTTTAGACCCTGTAGTGATAGGCTTGGGGATCTGGCAGAGTCCTAGAGCCCTCCCACCTCCTACCCAAAGCTGGGAAAGTGCTAAGTAGGTTTTGGGAAGGAGACAGGAGCCTCGTGCCCCCTTCCCAAAGTCCAGCACCTTGCTTATTAGGCTTTGCTCAGCTCAACGCCCAGCGCATGTGCTGGACACACAGCTCTAAATCCACCCTGGCCCCTGTTGGTCATAGAAAGTTCTCTTTTCCCAGATCACACTATTCGGTCACCTAGCCTGTATTTTGTGCCCTGACTGGCAGCAGCTTCCCAGGGTTTCAGCCCAAGATCCTTTCCCCATCACCAGCTGCTATCTAATCCTTTTAACTGGGATCGGACCTGGAACTGTTTTCATGCAAAACATGCTCTCTGCCGCTGAGCTCCAGTTCTTGCTCACAAACATCAGGCCAGCTCCCATCATTCCTTGTTTTGCCTTGATCCATATTTTTGAGGAGTGGGGGAAATAAAAGGGAAACTGAAAAGGGTTTTTAAGACTCAACTGCAAGCAGCCTTTGTGACTTAAGGCCTCTCCCTGGAGGTGGAGGGGGTGTGATCAGAGCCAAAGCGAGGACCTTGTGATCATTGTGTTTTTCAAATGCATTAAGAGGAGGGTGCAACATGATAGGTAGGAGTGAGCGCAGATGTGGTTTCCGTGGAGCGCACCACCTGGAACAAAAGTCCTAATGAGGCTGTGCTATCTAGAATTCCTGATAGAGCAGTGCCAGATGCGAGCTGAATACCTCACTTCATAATTATTGCTGGAGTGTGGTTTGCCAAGGTTTGCTTCAGGCACAGCAATTGAACCGGCCAGGCATTGTTTGCAAATGGTTTTGATTTTTGGCCGGCATTGGCTAGCAGCTCATGGGATGTCTCTGTGACCTCCTGTGCAAATGTCTCTGGAGCTCTGAGGACACAGTAATACCTTGTTTTGGAAACTGCTGTCTTTTGAAGAACAGTAGTTTTCTTCCCGGCTGCAGCTGGCTGCATAGAAACAGGCAGCAGTCTTCTT